CATCAGGTCTGAAATACAGGGAGACAGGACTGAGGAAACTTTTGGATAAAATCAACAACATCTACAGTGGGAATAAATTATCAAAACTCAAGGCAGAAAAGAGGCATTGTCAGTATCAAACTGCCTGGAGAGAATAACAACCCTTTCCTTGCACACACACCCACATGGGTATAGAGAAACTCCAACCCATAAGCCTTAACTCAAGAAGGGCTAAAGTGAAACCAGACCTGATACTGAAGCAAGGAGACAAGCCAAATAAAAGTTGAGATATCAGAAACTTCTGATGGGTCGTTTTGTCGTCCTCCATAGAGAAAACGATAACCAAGCACAAGGTTGAAAGAAGGATCCGTCCAGACCATCATATGTAGGAAGGTACAACAATTCCCCCCCACATTTACAGAGATGCCTTCTGGTATGGAAACCTGTACCTAAGTGGGGTTGAATGAAAATTAAACCACCAGTCAGACCACCACCACCTCTCATCACCTTTAGTGGGACCTGATCATCATCAGTAGATGAAGATGGGCTCACCTCCAAGACATACAGAGAATCATAGGTTAAGTGATCCACAGAAAGGAAACTAAGAGATGGCTTCAAACATCCAAACTCTTCTTCCTGGAGATGAAAACATGGTTCCTATCACTCGAAATCAAAAGGAATTGGTGCTGTACCTTGCTCAGGCCCCAAAACATTTTGCATCTTCCCTTTGGGGCTAAAGGAATAACAGAATCCTTAACCAAAAGAGAAAATACAAACTTTTCAGCCTGCTTCTCGGTGAAATTAAGCTTGATTCTCTTGGGATCAACCAAGATGAAACCCGAAGTGCTTTTGGCATGGCAAACAAGAAAGCTGACCCCTTGGCACACCGCCAGTGCCCGGATAGGAGTCCTGAAAAATGTGTATTCTCTTGCATAGCTTGAACACAGGTTGACATGGTGAGAGAAACCAGGCGGCTCTGTAGGCTTTTGAAATTGATGAATGAGCCACTGTCAGTCATTCTGAACTGGACTGAATCAAGGATTTCCTAGCATGATCCTACAGATACAGTTTGAAATGTTTGTGTGGTAATAGAGTATTGTGCCCTTCTGCTTGATTATGTATGTTCCTGTCCAAAGAAAACACCAAAATTTACTTTAGGGAGCAGCAGAATGAGATAGTTAAGAAACAAATACCTGATTAAAAGTGCTTTGGAAGCCTAACACGGCTGATGTAAAAAAGTTACCATTTCAAAATTTGTACAAATCTATCAATCCAGGTATGATAATAGGCATGACAATAAACTATAAGCCACTGAAAGTTCATTTTGGCCTTAGTCACAAGCAAATATATCCAGTACTGTATTCATCTTGGCTTTAGCCAGGTTCTTAACTTCTCTGGTATCTTGAGAGTCTACTCTGCCATCAGCTCCACTGTTCTGCATTGCCATTTGCACCATGTTGATTGAAGGTGTGCTTACAGTAACCCTATTTCTTGAAGGGTGGTTATCTCCTACTTTCTTGCCCTACTTCCTTCCCATGCTCTGGCAGGTTTCTCTGGAGCTTTGCTTTCTTCTGGGCACATTTGTTTTCCATGAGTTTCTTGTGGTAAATTCTGGTTGATTGCCATTTCTTAGGTTTGGCAGGTTGTTTCCAGCATTTCTTTGCTAATTTCGCTGGATCTCTGGGATGCCTACTAGTAAATTCTCTTCCTTTTTTTTAGTTTAGGATTTGGCTGGAGTTTAGTATGGGGGCAACCTTCATACCAATAACAGGCTCTACCATTTAGTCTTTTCCTGGCTCCCACATCTTCCACAACCTGTCTTAGTGGTCCTTCGATGTCTTCATCTTTGAGTGATCCACATTTTAACCTACCTCAATGATAGGTCCCTTTGATATCTCCAGTCATCAGGGTTGTCTACTGTCCAGGGTTATAGTAATTTTCCAATTGGCCTGCTTCACCATATAGGTCAACTAAGGGGGACATCCCAGTTGATGTCATCTTTTCTATTCCTAGGTTAGCCCTATTAAGGCTGTGCATGCAATCTCCAGCTGATAACAAGGTGATCTTGGCTTTGTTGCCAAGTTCTTTTTCTACTTTTGAGCGGCCTGGTCTTTACCTGCATGCTGTTATCGATGGGCTGTGATTAGGCTGCTGTTCGGTCATTGAGGGTTTTAGCAGACTAACAAGGTTCTGACAGTCTGGTACTGGGTTAATGTTTCTGGACTCATTGTGCCTCTGTTGCCTTGGGTTACGTCTCTTGACCTGACATTTTCCATAACTGACTGCAATTTCTCCTCCTCCCTAGTGAGCCCCTGTTTTTTTCTGTAGGTAGTTAGCTTTAGGGAGTCACAAGGGGGCTTTCATCAGAAAACCAGCATTGAATGTAATGAAATGCCTCTTCCTGGGCGAGCCCCAGTGGCTCCCTGATGCCCACTCCTTCCCTTCCAGGTTGTCGGATAAGGGTAGTTTTCATGTGTGCATCTACTCCAGAACTGATGGCCTTGGACAGTGTGAGCCCCAACTCCTACACCCTGCCCCCAAACAAGTGGGAGGGGTGGGGCAAACAAGTGCACACTTGTTTCAAGAGATTCAATCATTTGTTTACATTGTTGGGGTAATTCATTTGACAGGTTATGAGGCTTCAGTCTCTTTGAATTCAGAATTGGTTTGTTGACTTTCTGGATGCCTTTCCCAGTGAGATGGCGGGATGTCACCTGCTCCCTGCGTCTATGTTAAGGAGAAGTCCAGATTCTGGCACTGGTCCCCAGTAGGCCGAACAAAACTCCATGATTGATGCCATCTAGTAATTGAGAGCCATCTCAGCAAGGTAGCTCCAGGGAGCGATTAGGGCTCACTCAAAAATAGGCTTTTCATTATAGTCAATGCAAATTTTTTGTTGGTTCTTGCTTCTGGTTGTTGGGTTGGGGAGCTTCATACTTTCTTCTGGAAATGGGAGTTTGTTTTTTGGGGTCCTGGGGGTTATTTTCTTCATTTACAGTCCTCTCCTTCCTTTCTTTCTGGGTAAGAATGAGACAGCTGGTTTCTGATGGGATCCTTTGGTGATTGATGTGTGGCTGATTCAGCCGAGGGCATCATATATTATGTCTGATTGTGGCCGTTACGTTTGCATCACTAGTGGTGCATGTGGGGGATCCATCTTAGGTTCCTTATTCCATGTGGTCATGTGTCCTAGGTTCCTTGTTCCATGTGGTCATGTGTCCTAGGTTCCTTGTTCCATGTGGTCATGTGTCCTAGGTTCCTTGTTCCATGTGGTCATGTGTCCTAGGTTCATTGTTCCATGTGGTAGTTTGTCTCAAGTTTTTCATGGTATTAAGATTAGCCAGCCTGTGGTATGATTCCCACCTTCTTGTACCTCTTATGAAGTTCAGGATCTTCTGGGTTTTGTCAAGAACATAAGCTACCCCTTCAGGGTTCTTTCTCAAGATTGTAATTTATCACTTCAGGGCTCTTCCTTTCCAGTTGAACTTTGCTCTAGGCTCTCAGAATAGTGGTATTGCATGCTTTGGCTCCAAAATGTGCAGGTCCTGTTATCCATCAGTGACTGGCTTATTTACTGTCCAGTGCATACTTGCCAGGGGTCATGTGTTGGTGATATAGTACTGATTATATAAACCTTTCTGGTTAATCTCCCAAAATCCCAACTCCAGTTTACATAGAGCCTTGCATCATTAGGAATATTATAGGACACCAATGTGGCCAACATCTTACAGTTGGAGGTTTCATTCGGCTAGCTGGAATTTCACTTTTGCTTAGTTTGTATTTCCCATATTTTGTTTTGTTGAGAGCTCAAGAACTGTTACAAGCTTAAATTTGCTTCTGTTTTCCTCTTCGATTGTGTCTGTGCAAACTCAGCTGGTTTCTTGACTATCTAGCTCTCTGTCGCTTATCACTATACACGATTAGGTGGAAGTCGCTCTTGTTTTAAAGAGATTGACTCTCCTGAGTGGTTCATGTATCCATCAACACTGGCAAGTTGTTGGAAGTGCAATGTCTTTACAGGGTTTGATTGGTTTCTCTCTCTGGTAATGAATACTTGTCATGGTCTCTTGCCTGGCTTCTATGGATTTAGTACTCCCTGTGTTCCACATTTGTATTGGTGAACAGGCTCTCTCACTTCAGTTCAATTTGGACAAGGCCTTATTTTTATGGCTTTACAGCTGTTTGTACCTCTCTCTCGGGTAGACTTTTGCATCCACATGTAACCAATGTGTATAGTGGACAGCCACTTGGGCTGGATGGTAGAGCAACAGTCTCGCTTCCTGCGGGTCAACGTTCAGTCCCCAACCGTCCAAGTGTTTGAGCCCAATTCTTTTTCCCCCATCCAATCCCAAATCCTAATCCTGATCCCTTCCCAGTGCTATATAGTCGTAATGGCTTGGTGTCTTCCCCCTGATAGTTCCCTTCCCTTCCTTGCATGTCCACCAACAAAGAAATTTTCTTAGAATTTGTGTTATAAAAATGTGATATACTAACCCATTCTCCTGTTTAGATAGTAGTAATTTTTATAACTGTGCACTATAGTACAAAGATTGCCGTTCTAAGCAATTAGATAGTAGAACTTTGTACTATTCACTTTATAGTCTGGGAAAATAAAGCTAAAAAACAAGCTTAAATATTCCTAGGCCTAGTATAGCACACATATGTGCTATACTAGGCCTCAGATATCGTGTATTAGACCTAGGAAGGTTAGGTTAGTTTAGTTTGTCTTTGCAACATAAGTAGAAAATAGTTTCCTGGTGTGTCCAACTCAATAGTGCCGATTTCTTCTTTCTAATTTCATTGTACGTTGGTATGCATACCATGGTCCTCATCGTTACAATAAGTACAGTAATGTACTACCAAACGGATAGTACAGTACTATCCGTAATCCAGCCCAGTAATCCAGCCCAGGATGATGGGCTGGATATATTGAGTGCTACTTTTATGTAGAAGTTACATTAACGTTTGTTGTTATTTTGCCTTGTGGTATTTTATAATTATTCAGTTTTTCTTTCTTCAAGGGATTAATTGATGAATCTGATGTAAAGGAAGAAATTGTGTATGATGAAGAATACCAAGAATATCCAGAGTCTACAATTGACTACAGTCCTTCAGCTACAGACTTAAGCGTGTATCAGTCTACTAGACTAAAGAGTGAAGAGCAGTCTGGCTCAATGGCACCTTCAGAACTGCTACATATACCTGACTCAGAAAAGGACAGGTCACAAGCTGGACCATCTGGTATACAGGAAGTATGTTTTTGATTTGTTGTTGTTTAGATTTAGCTACTGAGAACAAAGGTTCCAAGTAGCACGGGCTATGGTGAGCCCATAGTGGACTTGATGAATGCAAATGTTTGTGTATTTCTTTATTTATATATTTCTTCTTTCTGATAACATTTATTGTGTAGAGTAATACCAAATTAAGAGTAAGCATCATTGGAGATGATGATTCTTCTTTAACACAGTTCACTATTTGGTCATCTTTAGTTAATTCTATTCTCAATTTGTTGTCTCTACACTGTTGTCAGCACATTGTGTTTATTCAACTTGATCATATATAATGTTGTTGAAGGCTTAACTGATATCAGTTCATATTACATTATATTATTTAAAATGATTCTCCTGGATTCTTGGTGCTAACTGATTCATAATTTTAACTGAATTAAAAAAAAATAATAAAATCATAATAATTGTTTCAGCTAATGAATGATGGCAAAACAGCCGAAAATATGCTACTAGATAATGATTACGCCACAGAGAGAAATGAGGAGCTGATGACCTATAGTGGTGAGCGTAATATGGAGCAACAGGATTTCCATCAGATGGTGAGTTTAGATATACAGGTGAATTAATCAATAAAATTCAGATAAGAATGCCCTATGGGTGTGGGTGAAAGTGGTGACAGGAGAAGAATAGATTGAGAAGAGCATATTTGGTTGAAGAGTAAGTGCCAGAGTTAAACCCAGCTGCTTCCAGTCGAACCTGAGTATTATCTAGGTTAATTATTAATGCCAAGACTATTGATAATAAGTAGATGTTGCATCAAATGTGATTGCCTACATGAAGGTTCCATCACAGCAGAGAAAATACAGGGCATAGTTTCTTTCATCAGATTGGTGGTTCTCAAAACTGTTGAGCATTTGGGTATGTCAGTGTTGCAGTACAGTATTCAGGAAAAGAAAAAACACTCATGTAATGCAAAGTCTCTTTCTGGTAGAGCCAGTGGCTCCTTGAAGCTATCTCACTGAGATTGCTCCATCTAATGAGTCACATCAGTTGCAGGAGTTCTGTTTAGCCTACCAGGGATCAGAATCAGAACCTGGCCTATTTACAGAGGTGCAGAGAGTGATCCAGAAAGTCAGTCAAGCTATACAAACAACTGGAGGATGTACAGAGAATGAAGCCTCGAAATTGCCAAACAACTCCACAAACTATTTAAACAATACAAGATAATCACTCAAAACTAGCTCAGACCAGTTAGTACCGACAACCGCCACCAAGGGGCCTGGCCCCAGCCCACAACCAGCTTCCCTGGTGAGTTCGGAGCCGACGAACAGCCCACTGAAGAACCGATGAACCTGGAGGGAAGGGTGGGAGACAGGCAACCACTGGGACTAACTAGAGAGAGATTTCATTGTATTCAATGCTGGGCTTTTGTGGGAGCTACCCGGTGGCTTCCTGAAGCTAGCTAATCATGGAGGATGAAAGCATGGAAGGAGAGGTGGCAGGTACTAAGAGAAGGAGAGAATCCAGGCTGGAAGATACAGCCCAAAGCAACACACAACTGACTGGAACCAGGAACATTAAACAAATACCGAGCCGCAGGAACCCGGTATTTGGGTCCTAGTCAGGCACCTCAGTCATTCATGCACCTGGTGCTTCCTGTACCCTACTGGGGGCTCACTGAGCTTATCTGTGATTTTGTGCCAGAGGCAGGTTATACCTCCAAGTTTTTCCAAGTTGGCAGTTAGCATGAGTTTTGCTATACGTCCCCCACCATCCGGCCTCCCAGCTGGTCTGCATGTGAGTTGGTGCCTGTAGTGTACCTACAGGTCTCATATTTTAGAGTTTTGCTACCCTCCGAGTTTGCTGCTGCAATCTGTGGTTCTCTAGGTGTTCCTCAGCTTGTTTGCTGCTGGTCTCCCTTCTCTTATAATAATAATAATAATAATAATAATAATTATTCAAAAGAATGTGTGTACAAAGAACAAAGTACAATTGTAGGGACAGGAGTTACACATACTAATGAAGCCACTATTATGAAATGTGTTTCGAGCAAAACTTAAAAAATTTGATAAAAAAAAAATTATTTAACCACTGTGCTGCACCAAGTTTATTGTGAAATTCCCCCTGGGTGCATGAAATCAAGTTGTTCCCCAAAAATTATTTTTTCTCCGTAAAATGATAAAGTCCCTTTCCTGAACATGACTATGTAAAAATAAATACCAAATTCCACTTACTTTGGCTGTGGGGACGTGGACAAGGTGCACTGTGACGTCATCAGTGGCTGGTCACCCGTGCGTGACATGCCCAGACACGGTCGGGTGGGCCATTCAAGCACCGGGTGTTGTCACAAATATATTTTCAATTATTTGTTCTATATATTTCCAATGCTGTTTTATTTGTTTTTTATCGTATATGATGTATATTTGGGTCCTTTACAATATGTATACAGTAGAACGTTCATAATGTTCCATGGAACTGTGATACATGTGTCAGTAATGTGTCCACAATAAATGTTTATAATCGCAATATTACTTGTTAAAAATTCACTAAAATTACAATATGTACAGTTTCACACACTATTTATACAGTAACACACTGTATTACACACTCAGTACTTCTGAAGTGAGCAATAATCAACGAAGTAGTCCATGGTACACAGAGCGACTTCGCTCTTGTTGCAACGGGTACAGATTTTCGCTTCCTGTTTCTTTGTTGTGTGTGTTTGCAAATAACACACTCACTTACACCCTTGGCTTTAGTACCTGTAGGTAGTATGTAGCCAAGCTTGTAAAGCGTAAGGTAATCTTGAAAAGATTATAGGAAAAGATAAATTTGTAAGGTAGTCGTGAAAAGATCGCTTTGTAAGGTCCCACGCAGGAAGAGATTCAGCCAGCCTCGAAGAGTGTCCATTAGTCTGAAAGAGATTCAGCTAGCCTTAAAAAGTGTCCATCAGTTAAGAAGAGATTCAGCTATTCTTGAAAATATCTATGGAAAACACCATCATGGAAGCTGCTATCACCATTCATTGATGCTATTTGTATCAGATGCATCATCACTGAACACAGAAAACGATTCATGTATGTACAGTATCATCAATTTAAATTGGCGATGGCATAGGTGGGCAAGGGAGGCGCTCAGAGCTGCAACTGGATACACTCACTGTATCGTCCTCATAGGTGCTGTATCACTTGCATCCGACCATTGTGTTAGGTCCTTATTGCGCCTAGCTTCACCAATATTATGACCCTTATGTTCTTCAAACAATAAGGTTTGTTTAAGGTCACCAACAGAGCGCGTCAGACAGATGTTTGGGAGCCAGAGAAGCGTGCACCCCCATGGTTGCTCACTCAGTACTAACCCAGCCAGCAGCCCTTGGGCATTCTGGGAATTTTTTCCAAGATGGTTGCCTTCTGAATGTCCTAAGAGTCCATTTTGTACACATTTAGAATGGGTCCGAAAAAATCAAAGTTTTCTCGGTTGGCGCAATTTTCCACCGACCGAGAATACTCAGTTGGTGCAGTTCAGTGGTTAAAGGTGTGAAAGGGTAAGCACTTTAAACTAAATGAGAAGCTAACAAAGTTGAGAAAGTTCACAAAAAATAACAAATGAGTAAAATAAAAAGTAATAAAGTACTTAACCATTGAACTGCACAATGCGCCTGCAGGCGCTCGACGGGGAGTGTGCAACGTGCCTCCGGGATCTTATATTTTTAGTATACGACTCAAAACTCCCACGGCTACATGGGGTTCACATCAGCTTCCTCGGGGCTCTTATAAACAGACACCATTTAAAAAAAAAAATCGTGGCCAACATTCCTGGGTGTGAGAGCCTCAGTACTGAGTGAACGTAGTTTTTAAAGATGGCGTCTGTTTACAAGAGCCCTGAGGAAGCTGATGGGAACCCCATGTAGCCGTGGGAGTTTTGAATGGAACATGAAAAATACAAATACCCGGAGGCGCGTAGCACACCCCAGACGTGGGCCTGCAGGCACGTTGTGTAGTTAAAGGGTTAATTATAGCATTTCTGTTTTGGTTGCATCTCACTCTAGGAATATCAGAGATATTTGTTTCTTGTGTAGTGACCATGAGTTCTATTACTGCCCTCTAGGAAGTGCTTAAAGTCAGGATTAACATTGCAGTTCAGAGTTTTATAGATATAGAGAATGTTTGAGAGTATGTGCAGAGATTTGCTATTTAACATGTTTAACGTTTTCAGTAGGGGAGCAGAACTGGAATTTGTCATTGTCCTAATTGCTGATTTTTGTTGAGTAATCATTGGTGGTAGATCCCAATGTAGCACGGATACCATAGGTGAGATATGGATAAATGAGTGAATAATACAGGGTTACTAGGGCAGGGCAAGGTACGTAGTACATACTATGTATTGTGTGGAATTGATCCCTGTTTTCATGTGAGGGATCCAAATTCTGTTAATCCTTCTCATTGGAAAAAGTACCATCTTTGGAAGTTTGATAATTCTAAAATAATAATATATTTTGTACCTCATATGCTTTCATTGGTTTTACTCATAGATTTAAATAAGATGCATATTTTTTTACAGATCTCCCAGAGTTATGATGCTCAGATAACAGGAGGGGAAGAGAGTGTACGAGATAGAGAGAATGCTGCTGTTGCCACATCCAGCAAGATCCACCATTGTCGTTTCTGTCCGTATTCCACCCCTCGGCATTATATTTTAATGAGACATCTTCGCACACACACTGGAGAAAGGCCATACTCATGCCCTCATTGCTCATATCGTGGCACTGATAAAGGCAATCTTAATGTTCATATTCGTACTCATACAGGAGAAAAGCCATTTTCTTGTCCTCAATGCCCTGCTCGTTTTTCTCAGAATGTTCACCTGAAGGACCATCTTTGCATTCACACTGGAGAAAAGCCATATGCATGCCCACACTGTCCTTTTCGTTGCACTAATAACAGTGGTTTAAGGAGGCATATTAAAACTCACTGGTAAGATATCTCTCATTAGCCCGCACATCCGGGGGGCCTCGTGGCTGTGTGGACAGTGCTCGGGGGTAATAATCCGAAGGGCCTGGGTTCGATTCCTGGCAGAGGCAGAAACAAATGGACAGTTAATTTCACCCTGATGCATCTGTTCACCTAAATGTAGATAGGTACCTGGGAGTTAGACAGCTGTTACGGCTGCTTACTGGGAATGCGTGTGCGAGCATGTGTTAGAGAGAAAAATATATAATAGACATATATGGTATGCGTGTTAGTTGCTTTACAAGATTGAAAGAACTAATGTATATATATATAAATAAAATAAAATAAAAACATAATAGAGGAAAAATAGATTGGCTAGAAAGGCAGGGTCCAAGAGCTAATAGCTCGATTCTGCAGGCACAAATAGTAAGCATATTACAATTTTTATACAAAAACATCAGGGACAGGTTTTTAGAGTTTATTTATGCCAATATCAGGTTTTCATTATTAAAGGATAATACTGGTATTAATATTATATCTGAAAGATTTCTTTTATTATACTGCACTGTACTGTATATATAAAACACATTATACACAAGTCTTACTTACATGAGTGCAATGAGGCATAAGACTGCAAATAGATTGGAAAACTAAATTCAACATAGTTACTCATCCTCAGATGATTTAACCAAACACATATGCAAAACTAATATTTGCTGATATGAATTTATTTTTGTAAAGTGTTATTTTATCATATACAGTATGTTATTTATATAAATATGTAGATATTAAATAATGCTTTGTATATGTGTACAGTTTTACAATTGAACTACTTAATCTATATTATATTTCTCTTGGCAAATGTTCAGCACTATTTGGGCACAGGCAAGATATGGCATATTGTATACTTTATTTAACTGAAGGTGTAGTAATAGAACTGTCATTATCTTGTGTAATATAGTTCCTAAATCATTTAAAATTAATGTATATTTAGTATAGCTTCATAGAAGTTCAATTCCATTAATATTTGCTATATCAATTGTTATACAAAATCTCCATAGATATTGTAATTGCTGTTTCTTTAATAACATCTGTATAGAAAAACTTTATTATATATTCACAGTGGCTGTTTGAGGGTTATTTTAACATTATTATATTATAATAAAGTACAGTACATGCATTTTATATGAGGTAAATCAAATATTGTCATTTTTTAATATTGCCATTGAACTTGTAAAGCTAATAAAGATTCATACACAAAACTTCTGAATTTTATATGTGAAGTTCAGAATAGTAATGTTTATATTTTAATCTTTGATTTGTTTATACAGTATGTCAAAGAGAAACATTTACTGGTAGATGTTTATACATCATTGTTTTACTTAGGTTTCTTTATTTGATAATTTTATATGAAAAAAGAAGTGTCTGATTTGGACATCATGGTTTTCAAAAATAATTTCAGATTTTATTATGCATATTAAATATTTTTCTTTGTTAGAAAAGTGAATATTGATATGAAGGCAAAATATATAAAAACGTCTTGCAAAACTTATGAAAAAGTAGTTCAAATCAGCTAATTATTAAATTCATTCAAATTTTTAGGTACAGTACTGTACGTGATCCTTTGCTTTCCTTTATTTTGTTAATAGACGAGGGACAATCTTCAGTGACAAACATCTCTAGCATTATTCAGCTCAGCTAGCTAACAGTATTGACTTGTACAAGTAAGAAACTCATAGTAATTGAAACCATACTAGTAGTTTGTATCTGGACAACATCACAGATTCAGATGCGCAATACTTCTTACTAATACACAAAAATATATATTGCATCTTGGCACACCTCTGTAATAATTGGTTAGTACAAAATAAAAGACATGTCTTCAACCTTTTTTTTTCTCCATTTGTCTGGAGAAAAGGATCAGCTTTCAATCCCCGATCGTCCAAGTGGTTGGGCACCATTCTTTCCCTATATCCCCTCCCAAATCCTTATCTTGATCCCTTCCAAGAGCTACATAGTTGTAATGGCTTGTCATTTTCTCCTGATAGATCCCCCTTCCTTTCCATTTGTCTGAGTTGGAATAGCAATAGTGTAGCATGGAATAACAATGCAAACAGGTGTATCATTTACTACGGGGGACCTCAATATTTATAACAGGCTTTCTGTTCCTTATGATGGGAACTATTACCTTCAATCATTGTATTAAATGCCCCACAAAATTTATGCTTCATAGGATTAACGAGTACCAGCCTCAACCAGTGAGGTGGGGTTTTTAGATTTGTATGCTTCTGGATAGGCAAAGCCACTTTATATCTGACACTTAAAAAATTGTAAGAAAAGTCTAGAACATTAGGGACACCAAGATCAGCTCAAATGGAAGCCCCAAAGGTAATAACATATCTTGAGAATCCAAGATGTCCACTTTGAATCCCAACTAATCCCTGAATTGAAGTATCAAGTAAGCATCCTGCAGGTCCCGGGAAATAATCCAAGACTGACAGAAAACTCCTTGGCAAACCTGGCAAACTGGTTATCTGGAGAGTTGGACATTAATGAGAGTACTGTATAGAGAAAGGAAAGAGTGAGGATAAATCGAGGATTTGGAGAAAAATCAGCCAGAGGAATGAAGTAATGGAAATTACTCTTGTTCAACATCACAAATGATAGTCAATCCAGGGAGAGACTTGAGATGGCTGGGAAGAAACCTGGGACACCTGGCTTTGAATATAAGACCAAACCTAACAAAAGCCCTGTGACAAGGCAGAATATGCAAGCTTGCTGAAAAGTCTAAAGACATCGCACCACTACACCATCACTGATGCTTACTATGAAAGAGCAGATGGTAGAAATCCCTCTAGCCACCAAAGTTTGGTGAATGTAGGAGAGACACCAACCTCAAACCAGAAACTCCTTGAGAAAAACACTGCCTGGAATGGCCCAAGGAAAGAACTAAGAGGCAGACCACAGCAGAAATACTGTACCTTAAAAACTGTTTGAAAAGACATGCTCATACCTCAACCAGTGCCCAATCTAACCATCCCTGAAGGAAAGAGTAGTTTGCAAAATGGGTTTCTAATAGTAAAAACATTGACCAAACAGACTCCTGGAGGTTAAAGGTTACTGAAGACTGCATACTGGCAAGCTTTACATGGATGGGCATGGAGGTGCATAATAATAAACCTAAACTAAAAAAACTAATGTCCTAAGTGATAAGTGGAAACCTTGGGAATTTGTTACAGATGCCATTAATAATGGTTAGTGAATATGATTGCAGGTGTCATTAGCGATTATGGGGATTATTGTGAGCTTTTAAATAATTGGAATAGAATTTCTTGGAATGTGGAATAACTTTGTGATAAATAAATTGACTGCCACATAATAATAATAATAATAATTTATTTGCAAGAAGGTACAATGGGTTGGTGAGATTACAAAGGCTTGGTATTTTTACTTTCATGCAAAGCCACTAACACGCATAGCGTTTCAGGTAGGTCCTTAATCTAACATTTCAGGTAAGATGAAAGGGTACATTGTAACAGTTGACAAGTTGACAGAGGTGATTACACTGGTGAAGATATATGTCTTAAGTACAGTACTAATATTGGGGGAAGTGGGTAGTACAAGATACAGTGTGAGTTTAAAGCACAAATTAGGAAACTATGAGGATGAAATCAGGTACTTTTTCATTTTACTTTTGAACAGGTCATGGGTTGGACAAGTTTTTAATTCATCAGGGAGTGAGTTCCAGAGATTGAGCCCTTTTATTTGCATGGAATGTTTGCACAGATTTAGTCTTTGCTCTGGGAATATCAAAGATATTTATTTCTGGTGTGGTGCTCATGGGTTCTATTACATCTATCAAGGAAAAGTTTCAAATCAAGATTAGCATTTAGGAACAAGGTTTTGTACATGTAGATAGCACATGAGAATGTGTGGAGTGAGTTAAGGGACTTTAATAGAGGGGCTTTGTGTTGTCTGACGACAGAGTTTGTTATAGTTCTGATAACAGATTTTTATTGAATGATGATGGGCTTGAGGTAATTTGCAGTGGTTGAACCCCATGCACAGATACCGTATTTAAGATAGGGATAGATTAGCGCGTAGTATAATGAGAGGAGAGCAGAGTGCGGAACATAATATCTGATTTTAGAAAGTATTCCTACCATTGTTGAGACTTTTATTGGTTATGTGTTGTATGTGGGTGCTAAAGTTCAGTCTCTTGCCTCTTTTCTTATCTAATGTGACTGCTACAGGTGCTTAATAAATAAACCACTCTGAAAAAAGCGTATATTAGCCATGAATCGAAAACATATGAGGAGGAGGAGCTCTTCTACTAAAAATAAATCAATAAGTTGCTAGGGTATTCGCTAAATATCGCCAATAACCCAACAAGAAAATAGTCACTCCAACAAAAAACGTGAAAGAAAACGTGAACCTGACGCAGGAGTAGATTTAATTTAAACTAATAAGTAAACAGTAAAGTAAACTAATACTAATTAACTAACTAAACTAATACTAATTAACTAACTTAAATAATACTAAACTAAAAACTAAACGAATGCATGTATCAGTACTATAACCGCCCAACAATCTATCTCCCAGGACGAACAAGACCAGCAAGTGGCGGAGGACTCTGTTATTGTGTGATCTTCAGTTGTCCAGGCGGAGAGCGAAGGTGAGCCGTGTATTGAGTTTGATATCATAATACATCAAATACAGTATGAAATGGACAAAACAGACATAATTGCTGCTTACAGGGTAGGCAAAAAGAATACAGCAGGTCAAAATCAACGTAAAATTCGCCTCAAACTAGTTGCCCATAACCTAAAATCCGGTCTTGTAAAAGCAGCATTTGTTGTTAAAGATTCGCTACCTAGAACAAAGTTCCAAGTAGCACGGGCTATGGTGAGCCCGTAGTCAGGCAGCAGTATTATCTAACAAGGGGGTGTACATCAACTAGTTCCTGACCAGGAAAAGGCAGGAACTCCTACCATCTGCGACAATTCCCTGTAACCTACCTTATCCCTATAATGTCAACCCATGTCTGTTATTTTTAAACAATGCTGTTTGTCGACCAAATTGTATTATTGCTGTTTTCCTGCTATGTTCCCCCTCTTTTATTTATATATTGTCTCAACACATTTTATACTTTAATCTCAATTAGTATTAAGTTTTAGTCTTTAGTGATTTTCCTGCCCGAAACGCTTTGCGTAATAGTGGCTTTAGGCATTTTTTTTTTTTTTTTTTTTTTTTTTTTTTTTTTTTTTAGATATATACAAGAGTTGTTACATTCATGTACAGCCACTAGTACGCGTAGCGTTTCGGGCAGGTCCCTGGAATACGATCCCCTGCCGCGAAGAATCGTTTTTTCATCCAAGTACACATTTTACTGTTGCGTTAAACAGAGGCTACAGTTAAGGAATTGCGCCCAGTAAATCCTCCCCGGCCAGGATACGAACATACATACCGGCATTGTATGTATTAGCTCTATCTATAAATTCAGCAATATTTGCAGTCTCCGTGGTGTAGTGGTAAGACACTCGCCTGGCGTTCCGCGAGCGCCATGTCATGGGTTCGTATCCTGGCCGGGGAGGATTTACTGGGCGCAATTCCTTAACTGTAGCCTCTGTTTAACACAACAGTAAAATGTGTACTTGGATGAAAAAACGATTCTTCGCGGCAGGGGATCGTATTCCAGGGACCCTTAGGATTAAGGACTTGCCCGAAACGCTACGCGTACTAGTGGCTGTACAAGAATGTAACAACTCTTGTATATATCTCAAAAATTTGTATCACCCCTTTTATGTACTGTATGTACTTTACCTGAATAAACATTTGAATTTGAACAAATCCATAAAGAAAACTAAGGAGTGATCCATCAGTGCTATGTTAAAGATGGCACAATGAAAGGGAGAAAAACTCAATAAACTCCTCTGCCAATGTAGGGTATCAGACCTGACTAACCCTATCAGTGCCCCATCTTAATTAACCCCTTTGTTACCTAGTGCAGGCTAGGCAAACTAGGTTTCATCGTTACCTAGCCTCCCCATGCTCCCTAGCTCCATTTTACTCTGGCTATGCCTGTGCCTGTATTGTAAACTATTGTTTTCAGTGTACCTGGGTGTACCTCAAAGTAATCTACCTCATTTATTCTAGTTTATCATGTTCTAAACATTCAATCTTTATTGAAACTTTAATTTTACTTGGCATCTGTATTATACTTGTCTAATTACATTGAATCTTAATTCATTTTTACTTGTTCCCATCTTATTTGTATTTCATGCTATAGTTATTTTTATATCTAGATTTTTTTTTAATTACTCCAAATTTCATCATTCTACTGAAATTAGTTTTTTTTTTTCTCTTTACATTGCATCATTAATTATACCTTTGCCATTTTACCATCAAACAGCTTACTTATGCAACTAATAGACCCAGAAGCAAACCTCTTATTAAAGTATCTATGACAGTCATTACTTTAATGATCAAAATTGCAGGTATTATACAGCATATGATGTAAACAATGTACTGTATTAACACATTATCACAATGTTTCTGTAATTAACTTGAATGTAAGATCTCTAAGCAAACATTTTGATGATGTTAGTGCCCTAATTCAAACAGTTGACAACAAATTCACCTTTATTATACTATCTGAAATGTGGTTGAAAGATGATACAACACAACTCTATAACATGCCAAACTACTCGGCAATTCACAACTGTCGGTCAATCCAGAGAGGTGGTGGTACTGCTCTTTACTACCAATAAAAACTGACAAGCTTAAAAGTTATTTAAACTAGACACATTTGTGGCGAGTATTTCTTTGCCCGTTTCAGAGTCAAGGGTGCCGAGGCTGACTTGACTGTGGGAACAGTTTACAGAAT